AAAAATTGGAACACGTCGAAACTGGCTAAAAAAACTCGACGTTATTCCATCAATCAACTCACTGACTACAAATTTGCTGTCCAGAATTTTAAAATAAATTCCCAGAAATGATTAAACATGTGGCGATTAGTGACGCGTCATCGAGTACGCTAATCGCTAATTACAATTAAGTAATTAATTAATTATAAGAATTCGAAACCTGAATTTTGAAATAAGTTCCCATCGCGAAGAAATGATACAAAATGTGACAATTTTGGCGAATTTTGTGTTACTTCATGTTAATTAACCATTAATTGATTAATTTAATTGACAATTAACCTGCCACTCCATGGGGGCCACGTTATCGTACAAGACGTCCTTGAGCTGGGGGAATTTTTGGTGCAGGGTGACGAAGGGGAGTTCAATCAAGTCCGTGTAGGCTCCCCCCAACGAGGGGGCGTCGCGATAATGGTAAATTTCGACCCTCCCCTTGCTCCCCCAGAGGGCAAAAAATGTGACCGCTTTCCACCTTTCGGACCAGCTTTCTTGCCCCCAGATGTAGGACAGGATCGACTTTTGGGTCAATTTCTCCTCTCCGGGAAGAACCTGGACTTTCACGTTGAAGTCGAATTTGTTTGGGGTATTGTCGTAGCCACAATCTGTAAGAGGTTATCATGATAAGTGGTAGGTTATCATGAATAGAGGGCGGATATGCATTTATCTTCAAGTTATGAAGATCGACGGTCAAATTTTGTGGGTGTGTTCCGTAACTCACATACAAATAGATCACAAAAATTCCGAAATATTTTGACATATTTCTAGGTTTTCAGAAATATAAAGATTTCCGTTATTATTTCAAAAATACCGAAATATTTTACATATTTTTAAAAAATATTTTGACATATTTTTAAAAAATATTTTGACATATTGTGACATATTGTTACATATTTCTAGGTTTTCAGAAATATAAAGATTTCCGTTATTATTTCAAAAATTCTGAAATATTTTACATACGTTTGTTCAAACATACAAATATATTGTAATATTTAAACGGTTTGAGACGATTTTTTATGCTCAAAGAAATTGGACCAAAAAAATCTGGACAGATCCTTAAACCAGCTATTTCGAAAAATTTTAAAGGGACCAACTCCTTAAACCAGCTATTTCGAAAAATTTTAAAGGGACCAACTCCTTAAACCAGCTATTTCGAAAAATTTTAAACGGACCAACTCCTTAAACCAGCTATTTCGAAAAATTTTAAACGGACCAATTCCTTAAACCAGCTATTTCGAAAAATTTTAAACGGACCAACTCCTTAAACCAGCTATTTCGAAAAATTTTAAACGGACCAACTCCTTAAACCAGCTATTTCGAAAAATTTTAAAGGGACCAACTCCTTAAATACAGATTTTGAGAAAATTCTTATTTTTATGTTTTTCGTATATATATTTCCTAACTATTTTGGAATATTTCCGCTATTATTAAAAAAAGACGTATATTTCGTAAGTATTTCTACGATGTGAGAGGAATGTTTTTTGCCACAAAAATTAAAGGATTAAGTTCAAAAATGTGTGACAATTCTTGTTTTTTTGGGAACATACTTCATAAATTTTAAATACATATTTCAGCGATTTATCGTAAATACATATCCGCCCTGTGATGATAAGTGGTTATCATGATTTTAAAAAAATTATAAATATCTTAGCTCACAACTCCAGTCGGCATTTCTCCTCTCTTCCAGCCGTTCCATTCCCTGGCACGCCCAAGACCAGAAGGTCGGCGCTTTGCATTTCCGCCGGAGTTCGAAATAGGTCTCGAGCGCGGAATGGGAGGCGATCGCGGTGTCCCACGTGTACCTGGTGGGAAGGTGGGAAGGGTAGCGACCGATCCAGTATAAAGGGTCGTGGAAGTAGGAGAGGAACGTGCCCCATTCGCCGAACCACGTGTGCACGGAAGTGGGCAGTTTCCACCCTGTAATTAATTTAATATCTCGCTTATCCAGCGATAACACTAGTCAAGCGTTCAAAATGTGTTATCGGTTGGGAAATATGAGATTTTTGGTTAAAAAAGATCCAAAAATGAGGATTATTTCAAAAATAAAATAAAATTCGTAGCCTACTTGTTCAGAAGCTATTGAAGGTTTGATTGTGATGGTGCAAAAATTTTAGATTCTAGAAATTTTTACGGTCAAATTTTGGAATAATCCCAATTTTGCCAAGAATAACCCAATTTTTTGAAGAATAATCTTTGGAAGAATAATCCCAATTTTTTAAATAATAATAATCCCATTTTTTGAAAGAATACAAATACAAAATCCCAAGTTTTGGAAGAATAATCCCATTTTTTGAAAGAATACAAATACAAAATCCCAATTTTTGGAAGAATAATCACAATTTTTGAAATATTAATCCCAATTAAAAATAATAATGATCCGAATTTTTGAAAGAATTCAAGTACAAACTCTGAATTTTTGGATTGGCATTTTCATCCAAAAATTATTCAGGGACATATCTCTCAAACAGATAACACACGTTGCAGGCTTAGTGAATAAGTAAAGCTTATCCATGATAACTTATCCTCCTTGTTCTCACTCACTTCTACACCCATCGCCATGAATCGCATACCAATTCCTGACATGAATATCCAGAAAGATCTCCACTTCCTGTAAAAACTTGGCTTCATCTTTCCAAAAGAGGTTAAAATTAAGTCGGCTCCTGTCCTTGGGGAGGATCACGTCTTCAATCACGATTTCGCCGTGCAGCGACTTCGGAACGTCCGGGTCGTCGCCGTCGCCCTCGTCGTCCGTCGTGGTGTCCATGTCGTCGACGAGAATCCAAGAACTGCGCCTGCGTTGGGCGACATCGTGCACTTTTTCCTCCACCCGCTCCGCCACGCCGAACGACCAGACCTGTTCAAAAAAACTTTTTTCATTCAAAGCTCAGTCATTCCGATTTCTGACTAAGGATTTTCATTCACATTCAGTCATTTTCGTTCAAATTCATTTCATTTCACTTCATCGGACTTCATTTCTTACTTCGCCGCATGTATTAAGCATAGGGTGAAAAATGAAATGAGTGAGAAATCCTTTCATTCACAGTCATTCATCCGAAATGACGGAATCTTTCACTCATTTTCATTCAAATCACAGGAAATTCATTTTCATTCAAATCACGGGAAATTCCGTTTCATTCAAATCACAGGAAATTCATTTTCATCATTCTCCATCATAATCAGTCACATGAATGAAAGTGAACAGGTATGCGACCTTATTTTTTATCCGCGCTTTCGACACGCCGGGATCAATTTTATGTTGGGAGGTAGAGGAAGAAGAAAAGGCGAAATCGAGCATGGAGTTGTTCGAGACGTCGTCATCATCGTTATCGGCGGCGGCGTCGGTGGGGGCGTCGGCGTCAGAATCGATAAGCCTGTGTTGCGTTGAGAAGGAGTGTCGACTCCGCGTGGTTCGAAGGCTGGTGGTCTTATCGGGGTCAGGGACGGCTGACGCGTCGATACTTTGGCTTCGTTCCCGTTCATATTGCGGGATCCGGTGCCAGGCGTATTGGTGGATGGGGGGTTTTTTCGGGGGCATGGGGCTGGTTTTAGTTGGGGGGGGGGTATTTTTATTTTATGGCGTAATTTGAATAAATATGATGTCCGCAAAATGGCAAATTTATGTCAAATCGATGTCAAATTTTGTGCGATTTACGGGGAAAATATGGCATTTTGTGTTACCATGTAGCAATAAATGAGGTTTAATTAACTAATTTCATGTAATTACTATCCGTACATTTTAATTAGTTTGGGTTAGGGGGGTTAGTTTGGGGGGTAATTTGAATAAGTTTTATGGAAAGAGGGGAAAATTATGTAAAAATCAAAGTCAAATTTTGTGGGATTTGTGAAAAAAAACGTCACTTTGTGTAGCAAAAAATTACTTCGAAGAGATGCTCAATTTAATTTATGTCTCAAAAACGGACCGATAAAATCACATATCGATTACTTGGAAGATGTTAATGTTTTTACTACTAATGAGGAACTTTTTCAAGTTACACCAGGATTTTATTATACAAATTTTTCTAATGAAGCGATTCACGCAGGGCTTGGTAACTTTTTAAAGTCCGAACATTTTGTAAAATAATTTTACAAACTTTTCCAAAATAAAGAGACGCCCTTGATCTAACCAGATCAAGTTTACAAAAATTTAGAAGCTAATTTTCAAAAGAAATATGCATTAAAGTTTATAAGTTTAAGGATTTTGCGAATTTTACAAAATTACCTACGTGAAAAATGGATTGACAACCTTTGTACCAATTATTTACAGAAAAGTTAGTGTAACACTACCGACTTACAAGTAACACAAAATAAATTTTAACTTTCTCTCGATTTAAGAGTTCAGACGATTTTGAATTTATGCGATTTATTTTTATTTATCCACGAAGATTTCACACTTTTCATTTTCCTCACACACTATTACGCATATTTATCACAAGAACGCTTTATGGGGAAATTTAAAAAGAAAAATGAGATTCTCGAGGTTCAAGTGGATCAGTGTTTCGGGTGCAAGAAAATTCGCCCAGCAGTTCTACTTGATAGCGAAGTAAGAAATGAAGTCGGATGAAGTGAAATGAAATGAATTTGAAAGAAAATGACTGAAAATCTTCAGTCAGAAATCGGGATGACTGACTTTTGAATGAATGCTAAATTTTTGAACAGGTTTGGTCCCCACATGTCCCTACAGCTTCCGTGGCCACTGAGCACATGCGCATGTACATATGCACAACCTTGTAAATGAATACATGTCTTGTTTGATTTGATTGTCTGTCTCCCAGTTTAAGCAATATTTACCCTGATCTCTGTAAAGGACCTCCCTTGTTGGTCTTGTGCATCTCCTCTCCAAAATGTGGAAACCCTTCATTCAATAAATCCTCTTTATTTCCCATTTCCGTCAAAAGTTTGGAAAACAATTATGTACCTAGTTAAAATGTGGGATCGTTATTCATTTAAAAAACTTGCAGATGATTATAAACGGTTTAAATTTTCAATATTTTATTTTATTTCTTTGCATCACATGAAGTATGTATGCCCGTTATAAGTAAATAAATAGTACTGCACGAAAACTATCTACGATCATTTAGCATGTAGAGAGTGAAATGTATCAAAGTTTTTTCATGAGTGATGTGATTATCATTATTTCTTCCGTCTTATCTAAATATTCATACAATTTTAAACGCTCACATAATATTTGCTGCCTAAAAGTAGGAGAATTTGTCTGGATAAAATATTTAGTTAAGTAGAAAATTATCATTAAAAATAAAGTAGCGTTTGTCCATCTCGCTCGTTTAAGAAAATAGTAAAAGATACAGTAATTAACGAGTAAAATGTTACTAAAATTGGTAACTTATTTGAGTAAAAAGTGAACATCTTTCTGGTTATCAGTCATAATTTAGTTAATTAATTATCATAATTATTATCCTAGCACAAAATCGGTAAATATAATTATTAAACAATTCCAGTTGGTTGCTGTCATTAATTGCCATCAGTTCATTACTTTAAAAAGAGAAGTCAATGTCCAAAATCATCAAAATCCGCCAATTTTTAATCATTTACCGGATCTGGGAATTTATTTTAAAATTCTGGACGACAAATTTGTAGAGAAGGGAGTTTTCAATTTTTTGAAAATTTACACTCCAAATTTTGCGACTTTTTGAAGGAGGAGATCTCAAGTTTAGGAAGCCTTCAGAAAAATTGGAACTCGTCGAAACTGGCTTAAAAAACTCGACGCCATTCTATCAATCAACTCATTGACTACAAATTTGTCGTCCAGAATTTTAAAATAAGTTCCCAGAGGCGAGAAATGATTAAAAATGTGCTGAATTTGATAATTTTGGTGATGAGTTATACGTTATAAATAGAACTTTCTACGTCATTTTTGTTCCTAAGTCTCCACATCAACTTCATATTCTTCTTCTTCCGAGGAAACGTCGCAATAATGTTCGCATTCCTCGTCACTCGTGCCAATGCGACGAAACGTGTTTTGTCCGTGGTCGTCCGAATGCTCGCTGTCCGAAGGGCCCCCGTTCCCTTCGGAAGATGACTCGGTTGAGAGGGACACCGACCGGAAGAGGTAAGGTCTCTTCTGCTGTGAGTGTCCATCATTATGCGAGGATGAATGCAACCCGGTCAGCGGGATGTTGTTGGCACCGCTGTGATCCGATCCGACCGAGCTGCCCTGTTCTTCTGATACCCGGGCGTCGATTTCCTTTGTAGTCAGGTCAGTTTGGAGGAAGAGATGCAACGCGGAATCGGAGAGGAGGACGCTGGAGCGGAAAACTCTGGAAGAAGAGAATAATTTAGTGGGAATAATTTTTGCAAATTAGAGTTTTATTTTAGCATTTCTTGCGAGTTTGCTAATTTTTTTGCAGAGCAAAGTAAGCAAGAAATTGCGTGAAATTGGGAGAAAGTGCGAAAAATATTCGCCATCTCGCCACGAAATATTGGCAAGGCGTCATTTCTGGCGCCGTGGTTTTCTCGCAGGTCAGAATAGCTGCAAAAACCCACTTTTTTGCATTTATTTCTTGCAAGTTTTTACTTTCACCTGCATGGTTTTTGTGAATTTATGTAAATAAGTACCTCTGGAGAAATTTGCCTAATCCGTATCTCCTCTGATTGATAATGTTCCCATTAAAGTTGGTCATGTTGAAGAAGTGTTTGGCTGGAAGGGGAGGGACGACTTTGTTGGGATGGTGGTGACTCAGCTTGTTCCTCAACCAGCAAAATTCTGAATATCTTCGCCGCACTTGAGACAATGGGAGGGAAAAGGCGTAATGGTTCGTCTGTAATGAGAAGATCAGACAATTTTGAGACGGTTTTTTAATAAAATACTTCAGTGTTAGCATAAGACCCGATGAATCATCGTGAAAATCAGTACATTTATAATCATTTCTCGCCTCTGGGAATTTATTTTAAAATTCTGGAAGCCAAATTTGTAGAGCAAGTCGTCCCCAATTTTTTTGAAAATATACACTCCAGATTTTGACACTTTTTGAAGGAGTAGATCTCAAGTTTAAGAAGCCTTCAGAAAAATTGGAGCTCGTCGAAACTGGGTCAAAAAACTCAACGCTATTCCATCAATCAACTCACTGACTGCAAATTTGTCGCCCAGAATTTTAAAGTAAATTCCCGGAGGCGAGAAAGCCTTAAAAATGTGCTGATTTTGGTGATGAGCATATAATAACTATTTAATTAATTACTTACCTCGATCCGGATGAGATACGTGGTAAAGGATGTATTCAAATGGAGAAAGTTTTTCGCCGTGATGGTCACCGGCTCGATCACTTCGACGCGGATCCATCTCTGAAAGAAAAAAAATAAGAAATTTAAATTAATTTCATAATAATCTCTCAGAAGAAAACAAGTCCAGATTATTTTCATGCCTAATTTTTATACAGCTTATATAATTTCATACGTTATTTTCATGCAGTTTTCATATACTTCATTACCATAAACAATGTCGCACGATAACATATTTTGTGTTAACCTCGTGATGCAACTTTTGTCAAGGTCTTTCTTATGAGACACACGGTTGCTTGTTGTTATTAAATGAGTTATTTATGCATGTTTATTAAATAAATGCATGAGCCAGACGCTGCCTGCCTACCATTTAATCCGCGTGAGGCTATGAATGACATTGATATCAATTTCTTTTCTTTAACAGATGGTCTGGTCGTGCAACTTAATGGAAAATGGAGATCGATAGTATGAATATTTATCTCAGATAAGCGTGTATCTGAGTCGTTTTGTATTTCGTAGATCGTAAATAAATGGTCATATGTGAGTGAAAGATCATATTATGGTAATTATTAATCCCATGTGCCACATGCCGGCGACACATGACGAGTCAGTCAGTGGTCATGCATATGCAAATGCGACATTTTTTAATTGCTGGACTAGACTGGACTGATATGTAAATGTTGAAGTGAAGAAGACCTGATGAAAAAAATAATTAACTAACTTAACTAACTGCTACGGTCAATCGCTTTATCACGAGTTTTATTTAGGAGTTGCATGCAAACCAACCAGTTTTTACATGTAAATTTTTATCGAGAAATTATGAACTCTTCAAACGGGAAGTAAATATGTGAGAATGAAATGAATGAGTGTTGAAATTGAAATGTGATGTAAAGTGTACTTGATATTTCATCCCAAGTTTTAATATGAATGACCAAAAGCTGATTAAATTAATTAGGTACGTAATTAACTATGGGATTGATCGATAAATCGCAATACGACTCATATTATACGAGAGATAAATTATGACAAAAAAAGTTTGGATGGATGGATGGATGGACTGGACCTTCATAATTAGTGTGACGACGCTGTGAAATGTTGCAATTTATCTGCGTAATATGTTCGGCCGGACAAAAAAGATTGCATGCCTTGATAAGGTCTTATCTCGTAATTAGTTGTGACGTAAACATGACTCGAAACAAATTTGTGACGATTTTCACGACGAAAAATGGTAAATAAATGCGAAATAAATGGAAAAATACAGAGATCATAAATAAAATTCATAATTTCTCTCTCACCTTTGACCCGAATTCCTCCACCTGAAAAACGGTACAGTTAACGTCCTGATCGTCACAATTGACCCCTGTTTGACCCTTCTTCTTGACCTTGTCCGGCGTTCCGGATCGCGGTCTTGCCGCTCTTTCCAAGGACGACGACGACGAATCGGTCGAATTGTCGTCATGATTTAAATGATCCTGCGACCTGACCAGTCTCTTATCCTCCTTCTTTATCTTCTCGATAAGCCCTCCCGCACTCGAGGAACACGCCAACTTAGCATTTCTCCGCAAAAGTGGAGAATCGTACAAGACTGGGGACGAGGGTGGGAGGAGGAACAAACTTTTCGCCGAGGAGGAGTGCTTCTTGTTCTTATGCTCCGCCATCAATTTCGCCACGGGCGACGAATTACTCGGCGCGGAGGAGGAGGACGTCACCATCGACGAGGATAAGACGTGTCGCACGTTATTATTCTTAATTGGGACACCGGAAGTGGTCGCCATATTTTTCGGAAATTTAAAATGTTCTCACAAACACAAAATTAATTTTAAAAACTTATGAAGAAATCGACGATCGTTGTCTTGAAGCGTTCGTTCGTCCGGTCACCTGGAGCAGAATTTTGTTTCCGGAATGACCCCGACCTTCGCTGAATTCGAGGTGTTTCAACAAATGTGAAAAGTTATTGGTGTTATTGTGACGAGTCGTAGTCGCAAATAAGTTGCGGGTTTTGAACATGCCCACAATTAATTTAATTTAGTGGTTTAATTAGAGAGGAAGTTTCGTGTGGGGAGAAGTGGGTTTGAAGTAATTGCTATGAAGAAGAACAATAGTTAAGATCGGAGGGGGGAGACATTTAGAAAAACTTGTAAGTTTCTGAAGGTGAGGTGAAGATCGATAAGACCTTAACTTTGGTGATGATAAGTGGTTATGGGAGTTGATGTGGAGTGGAACAAGGCTGCGAGTGGAATGACTTGATCGGTATCGAAGTCAGGCTTATTTAAGTGAGGGTTAAGTAGTCAGTTAAAGTTAAATGGTGGTTGGTTGGTGGGTTAAGTTAAGTGGCTTTGACGATGTCTGGTTCAGTTGGGTTGGCCTCTTAATTATTTTACGTAGTTTATTTTATTACTTAAATGTATTTAGGATTTAGTTTACCGACCGGATTTTACGCATAGGAAAAAAGTATGATGGTCTGAATTGGACAAGGATTCTGTGAATTTTGGAGATAATAATAAAACGGGAATTTGTAGGAGGGAGTTTTTCATAGAATTTCATGAAAATCTGGATGACTCAGAAATCAAGTAGGAATATGTACTCATGAAAATGTGGCACATGATTAATTCGCTTTTATTAGAACATTTTACATTTCATTTAGTTGATGAAATCAAAATTTTGGAGATAAAAGTAAAACTAAGAATTTGCACTGGTATACATAAATTTTTCATAGGATTTCATGAAATAAAAATGTGACTGGCTAAATTAATTAGGATTAATTTGTTTATTGGTCATTTCACGTTTCATTTTTTAAGAAAATCTAGAGTGAAGTTTAGAAGATTCCATGAATTTTGGAGATAAAAATAAAATAGAAATTTGTAAGTACGAGAGCAAAAAGCGTGAATACGTACGCGTTATACGTTTTCATAGGATTTTGCGACCTCATCTGCTCAAAATTAATTCGTTTCCAAACTTTTATATTTTTCTTATTCGGCTTCATTGCATTACATAAATCTCGTCAAGTAAGATTCAATTCAAGATTAATTAATCCGAAGGTGTCAAAATTGACGATATGCGCAACACATTTTTTTTCGACAAGAGCTAAACAGTGGCCGTGGTAGCGTGGGTGGGGACAGGGGGACAATGTGCCCACGGTTATTCGATGTCCCCATCATCTCCCCATCTTACATAAACCCCTCCCTCCCCCATCCTACAATGTTAGCGTCCCCTCATGTCCCCACGGCTTCCGCGGCCACTGGAGCTATCAAGATATCCCCAATTGGCCTCAATTCCTCCGTGTGACGTGACCCTTAAAAATAAACTGGATAAACGAACTGCTTCGGTCGGTTAAAACTGGACCTACAAAATAATTACGTCTCGATAAGTCATCCTTATCCGGGTTGAATATGAAAAAATGCACCGGATTATGAGTCAGATTGACATGTGGTCGGGATGGAATTACGGATTCGTCGTGTAACCCATTAAATTTGGGATTATAAATAAGAGATTTGCTGAATGCCAATTAAAGAAATAAGTCACCCGATACAAGAATGCATCTGTTTATTGCAGAAAAAGATATGATTTACATACACAACTATGCATGACTTGTACTTATAATATAAACTGGACTGACACACCCACCACTAAGCTTGCAAAAATTAATCCATTCTGGCCGTTCTTAATCAGATCTTGTAATGACATGGGATAAGAAACTATACGCAAATTTTCTTACCGACATCGAACTTCTGACAAAATTTGGAATTTTGATCATCGGTTATCTACCGAACAACTTGTAAGATAAGGTCAAACAGGAAGTACGGATGACTTGTGATGCAATGTAGCCATTAAATTTGGGATTATGACACTTATAAACTTTGAGAAATTATGTAGCTATTTAAATGACAATTAATTCCTTAAGTCAACGGATCTATCTGTTTATTTATTGCAGAAAAAAGTATGATCTACTTACATAACTTTGCATGACTTGGACTTATGCACAGTGGCCGCGGAAGGGTTGGTGGGGACAGAGGGAGAATGACCCTACGGTTGAGGTCCCCATCATCTCCCCATCTTATATAAACCCCTCCCTCCCCCTATCCTACCTTGGCAATGTCCCCACGGCTTCCGCGGCCACTGCTTAACTGACACACCCACAAAGTGTGCATAATCCCAATCTGCTGTTTGGAGGATGAGATTGACGAAAAACATCACAAGTCCTGTAATGACGTGCATATGATAAGAAATTCTACGCAATTTTCTTACTGGGATCAAAGCTCGGACAAAGTTCTGCCTTCGTTAGAATTTTGATCCTGATAAGAACATCACAATTGGAAGATAAGTACGTAGATAAGGTCGTCATGCAGCGAATAATTTGGAAGCGAATATTTAGCGAATATTTATAGCGAATAATTAATTCTAAGAAATTTTGACTCAAATTTGTAATTATGTATTACAAAGTTTGCGAGATTATGCAGCTATAATGACAATTTAATTAAATAACTGATCGATAGAAAAATGTATTTATTTATTTATTGCGAAAAAAATATGACCTACCTGCGCATGACCAGTGGCCACGGAAGCCGTGGGGACATCTGGGGACATTAACATTGTGGGATAGAGGTTTATATAACATGACGAAATCGAGAAACCGTGGGGACATTGCCCCTCTGTCCTCACACTTCCGTGGCCACTGTTGACAATGAGATGAAGCCACCTTTGTCGAAAACAGGACTTACGTTGGAATCTGGTAATATAATGTACGCGTAGAATTTACATGCAAATTTTCTTAATGGCGTCGAAGCTCTTGCAAATTTTGAAGAACGCGAATTTTTTAAATAGTTTTTTAATTGTCGATGCTCTTAAGAAAATTTGCTTACTAATCGTCATTACAAGATTGTCCTGAATTCGTTTTGTCTATAAAATTTTGATTTCCTTATTAGAATTTTGTGTTTGATAAGAAGATCCGTTACAGACCCACTTGGAAAATGCGTAGATAAGGTCATCAATCAGTCATGTTGGGAAAGATTACTTCTTTTTTGAAGGACTTATCCATCTCAGGGACGACTGCACAACCAGTTCGTGTCTGGTTATTGATCCGAACTGCGTAGGTACATAAATAATTCCAGAATATTGCCGTCAAGGACGAGAAATGAAATTTGTTAGAAATCCTGGAAGATTTGTTTTCAAAATCTGGCCAAAAGCAGTTTGAAATTAGTCAGAAATCGTGTAAAAATTTTACTTTTTCCGAAATCTGTATAAAAGTAGGAAATTTGTTAGAAATTCGGTAAAAATTACACATTTCTTTCCAAAATCAGTATGAAATTCAAGAAATTTATTAGAAATTTAATAAGAATGACACATTTATTTCCAAAATCTTTCCAAAAGCAGTGGGAAATCCAGTATCATTAGAAATCATGTAAAACCTACACACTTATTTTCAAAATCTGTCCAAAATCATGAAATTCATTACAAATTCTGTAACAACGACGCATTTATTTTCGAAATCTGTCCAAAATTTCCAAACCAAGTGGAAAACTATAATGTCTACAACATAAAAAAAGACAATATTGATCCTTCCTCATTTTTTAATACGCACACGCATTTATTTACACGCTTCAATCAAACACAGCCATCCAATTTTTACCAAATATTTAATAACGAAACATTTGGTCACGTCCACGTCCACGTCTGCCTGGCGTCTCAAAAAGTGAGGATATATTTATATTTATAACTATGATAACCGTATGATGAGACCTTATCAAGAAAGGAAGGTGAGTGAGTGAGTGAGTAATAAAATCAATCAATTATCATTTTTTTACCCACTCCAGTCCAGAGTTCATTCCACTAAGTACGCAGTTAATAAATTAAATTCTTCCCATTTTACAACCTTTGTTAAGTAAGATAAGTACATAATTGTTATGTTATAAATATACATTTGGAACGACCGTGATGACACGAAAGGCATAAATCCTTCACAAAAACGATCCATTTTCTATTTGTTTAACCAATTATATTTAGAACAGGTTCCTGGTCTGGTTGGTTTAGTTTTGTCCCGTTTAAAACAAATGGTGATTATCGGGGGTAGATTATTATGGATTGTGTTTGCTTTTTGGATTATTCAGTTAGTTCATGAGAGACATTTCTATATACAAATTTCCTTATGTGTGTAATATGTACAGATAAATGGTTACGTATGCACAGAAATATTTCGGGTTTCGATTTTGATTACGAATTTCGTAAGAAAAGTTAGTTAGTCATTCGTCATTCGAAGGTCGATTTGTAGCCTTAAAGCGAGGAGAGATTATAGCAGTATTTCCCCATAATCAGGGGGATTTGTCATTTGTGGGGTATTATATGAAAAAGGTGCATTTTTACCAGGAATTTATTTTACATGGATGAATAATAACAAACTGTTAAGCAATTGGTACGTGGGAACGAGACGAGACACACTTTTTAATGGAGAGAATTACATGCGTACGTTAAAGTTGCACGAGATGGCACATGGCATAAAAAAGCTACATGCATAAATTTAATATGGGTCTGTGTCGTTGGCGTTATTTACCAATTTCTTGTCCAGTTTGGGTCAATATTTCATCAATAAACTGGAAAAACAGGGTGAATTTACTTCATGTATGTAGATTTGATGACGAATTTTGTAAGAAAAGTTAGCTGGTCAAGCAATCATGATCCCTTTTGAAGGCTAATTTATATACCCTTAAAATAAAACCAGGGGCAAGTTTTCAGTAGTGACTGGGTGTAAAAAAGGTGCCTTTTTTAGCAAGAATTTATTTTATATTGATATGTTAAAAGCTGTTAAATAATTGGTGCGTGGGAACGAGACACAATTTTTCAGAGATGAATTACATATGAACATTAAAAAGTTGCACGAGGTGGTGTTACATGGCATAAAAAAGCTCCATGATAAATGTTAAAAGTTATATAGGTCTGAGTCGTTATTGACTGATTCCTTGTCCAGTTTGGGTCAATATTTCATCAATGAACTGGAAAACAGGCTGGATTTGACTTAATATGTACTTGGACTGGACACTGGACTTGTGGACGAAGAGGACCACCGGCCCATGAAAACTACGCAGTTGGTCAAAAATCTTGCACGTTTTTTTCCACAGTTTCCAGTAATAAGTTGGAACAAAGTTGTTAATAAGAGAGAAGTCTGTGGTTTGGTTTCGTTTGAAGGTTCATTGGTCGTAAAAGATGGCATAATTTTTGAGTACGTACAGTAAGTAGTTTTCCGTGCCACTTTTTATTTCCGAAAATGGGATAAATACATACATAAATATGAGTTATGTAGGGATTGGATATCCCCCACCCGACGATCCTACTACTCGGCACACGGAAGCCACCGTGGCCGAGTTCGACTGTAAAAAGGAAGAACCTCTCTCCAGCTCAGACAGACCGGCCCGAGGATTCCGAGTGTGAACACCTCGACAACTCTTCTCTCCATATTTTCTTGCACCACGCCTTCTGCGTGGCTGCCATTTTGGAAATACATTATTATAAAAAATTAAGTTCCTAAAATTCATTTATTGTACACGTTATGATCGTTTAATGTAAGGAGTAAAGATTTCTTAAAACCTTGTCAAGTGAAACTTATTGTGTGCACCGATATTGAACAGTTTATTCGGGTCATTGTTCATAAAAAATCGTACATTGAGTCGTGCTAGGTGCAGTTTAGTATAGAAACGGTGCATAAGTGGAAATCGGAGTAAAAAAAACAATACAGTATTTCTAATTGCCAAGCGAGAGACAATTCATCCTCCTCCCCGTGCGTCGTAGCTCCCATCCGGTTCCCCCCCTGTGGCCAGTGAAGGTGTCCCGTGATCAGAAGCGTGTCGCATCCGTCCCCCAAGGACCCTGACGTCCGGTACTCGATGACTCGCGCCCATATTCCCCTACCGAGCCCACGGCGACATCATCTCCGCCCACAGTTAATTAAGCAAATTTATGTGTAAATTGGTGCAGAAATTGGGAATATATTTGTGCGAATTATTGGCACAAATATATATTGGATGAATAATTCTAGTAGTAATAATTAATTAACTAATGAGGAATTGCGTAAATTTTACAACTTTTTTTAGGGTCGTCCACTAAATACTAAATTAATTCTGTAGTTTACACCTTTTTTCATTATGTCAAAATTCATTTCACTTAATACTAAAACATACGTATTGACGTCTAAATTTGACAGACAAAAATAACTTAAAGTGCTAAATTGTAAAATTACATTATATTATATAAAGTAATATTAAAATTACTCGGTATTATTATTTCTAAGCTAGTAACTTTGCACAGTTTACTCTGCTAAAAGTTTATCCCATTGAAAATGGGATAAATAAATGATATATAAGTTAATTAATTAAATTTCCACATAATTAGTCTAAAATTGTGCAAATTAGTGGCACAAAAATATATGCGCGCGATAAACTGGAAATAATCAGCATAGGTAATTAATTAATTAACAAATGAATAATGATACTCAATAATCATAATTTTGGAGTGTTTTTTTTTCTTCACAAATTTTATTTTCGAAAATGGGATAAATATACAAAAAACAAGTTCATAATTATGTAAATTTCCATGTAATTAGTATGCAAATTATTGGCACAACGATACAACATGTAAATAGATAATACTCGTAATAACTAGCATAATCATGAGTTAATTAATCACGTCCATTTATAAACCGAGCCCAAAAAGAGATCTTTCACGGCGTCACCAATTCCCAATCCGTCGTCATTCTCGGTAGCGTCCTTATCCTTGAAATACGTATCGCTCGCGGCGTCCCCTTCATCCCCAGGGTTCACGATTGCCACGGCTTTGACCCTGTTCGCCTCGTCCACCTCAACCCTCGTGCCGTACTTCGTTTTCGGAATTTTTTCCACGGGGGAAATTTCCACGGCGGGATTTCCATCGCCACGTTCTTGTACTGGTACATAATTAACGTAATAATTATTTAACTAACTAATTAGGTTCAATGATTTAAAGGATTATGCCATAATTTGAATAGTTTTTCGTCCACTTTTATTTTCGAAAGCTGATAAATATACATAAGTTAAGTAAATTTTCACGTAAATTGATGGGAAAATTGTGCAAATTTGTGTGCAAATTTTTGGATGCACATATGTAAATACATAGGCAATACTGGTAATAATTAGCATACTAACTACTAATTAAATCACGCCCCTTTATACACCGAGCCCCAAAAGAGATCTTTCACCGCGTCACCAATTCCTAATCCGTCGTCATTTTCATTCTCTTTGTCCTTAAAATACGTATCACTCGCAGGGTCCCCTTCATCCCCAGGGTTCACGATTGCCACAGCTTTGACCCTGTTCGCCTCATCGACCTCAACCCTCGTGCCGTACTTGGTCTTCGGAATTTTTTCCAAGGGGAAATTTCCACGGCGGGATTTCTGTCGCCACGTGCTTGAACTTTTTAATAATTAGCATAATAATTAATTAAGTAACTAAATAGGTTCAATGATCTAAAAAAGGCTATAATTTGAGTAGTTTTTCGTCCACTTTTATTTTTCAAAATCGGATAAATACAAACATTTATAAGTTAATTAAGTAAATTTCGACGTAAATTGATGGGAAAATTGTGCAAATTTTTGGCACAAAGATGCACACATGTAAATACATAGGTAATACTGGTAATAATTAGTTAACTACTAATTAAATCAGGCCCCTTTATAAACCGAGCCCCAAAAGAGATCTTTCACAGCGTCACCAATTCCTAATCCCTCGTCATTCTCGTTAGCGTCCTTATCCTTGAAGTACGTATCGCTCGCGGTGTCCCCTTCATCCCCCGGGTTAACGATGGCCACCGCTTTGACCCTGTTGGCCTCGTCCACCTCAACCCTCGTGCCGTACTTCGTCTTAGGGATCTTTTCCACGGGGGAAATTTTCACGGCGGGATTTCTGTCGCCACGTTCTTGGACATTGTTCTTGGGACGATAGTCGTCGTCGTCGTTCCGTTTTCCGTTCGAGAACATATTCTTGACGGCTTTGACGTAGTTCACGATGGCGCGTTTCGAAGTTTTGAAGACGTTCCAAGAGGAGGAGGAGGAGGATTGTGGGGGTGGTTTTGGTCTGTTTTTGCGGGGAGGGGGAAGGATGTCGTCGTCGTATTCGGAGGAGTCGTAGTCGGAATCGGTGTGGTGACGACCTTGGGAGTGCTTATCTTGAGCTGTTGGTTTTACGAGGAAGTCGAGAGATGGGACGCGGAGAGAGTCTGAAAAAATTAGGGAAAAGGGGTTTATATATTTTTAAGAATTTTGAAGTTAGGAAATTATGAAATTATAAAGTTAAGAAATTATTAAATTATGAATTTAAAATGTGTAAATTTCGTTTTACATATTGACAAATTTTTGAACTTGTGAAAGCATGAATTACTAAATCATGAATTTTTGAAATTAATTTAAAATTTATTACGAAATTATGAAATGTGTATCCTTCTAAATTACTAGAGTCTGAAAACATGTCCCGTTCTGTACGAATTTTTTGAAAAGTTTAAAGTTACGAATTTTTGAAATTCATTACTTGGTATGTAATTATGAAATATGTACATATTGTTGTAAATTACTTTAAAATCTAAAAAAACGTTCATGCAAACGGCCGCTTGCATGAATATGAATTTTTGAAATTATAAAATTACGAATTTAGAAAATTAACTAGTAATTATCAACAAAAAAAGTCGTACCTTCGACCTGCACCTTTTTCACTGGTGGTGGTGGTTCTCTCTTCCTTATGAGAAAGTTCCACGAAGGGGGCTCGATCGGTGCGGAGTCTCCGAACAAACAAAACACTCCAAAAACCAGGAGTAATCCAAACCCGACATGGATTACGCGACCCATTATTTAATAATTATTTAACAAATATTTATTATAACTTGAGAAAAAAAAACAAGGCTAGAAATAATTATTATCGAATTCTAGACATGACGCGATGACGCGACGACGAGGTTTCAACGCAATGTGACGCGAGCGAGCTTCAAGTCGCGTGTAAGTTTCGAATAAAAGTGAAATCGAATCGTGGTTGGTGCAGGCGAAAAAATAGTGGATCGACCACTTTCGATTTTTAATGTCATACCGTAATGATAGCTATCGTGGGAAGATTTTACTTACATGACCAGCCTGCACTTTATACATAAATGTATCTATAAAGGAGTCATTGCTTCTGATTTTACTTATGTATTGGTTTGCTAAAAGAGATCGAGTATTAGATAAGAGAATTGGCATGTTATGCTAAATTAAATATGTTTAATTTGCAATTTGTAGTAAAAATCTGAGCTCAATTTTGTCTCAACTTGCTGCCTGTTGTGTTATCAATCATTCATATTTTATGAGTATGTATGTATTTACATAAATTTCATACTTTTTTGCATCATTTTGCGCACTGGATTTTTGCTAAAACTTGATTAATTCAGAGTTGTAATCTGCAAGTTATTGTACAAAATTTGGGATTAATTTCGCGAATTTAAATTTTGCAAATTATTTTTTGTAATTAACTTTATTGTCCGGAGTTATCTACAAAATTTATTTTAAGGCATAACTGTCTGCTCTAATCTATACACCCTTAGAAAACTGGTATTAATTCATTACCAACCGGAGTATGTATGAGACTGGTATTAACAGGAATTACCGTGTTCAGTAATGTCGTGCTAATGAAAAATTTACCACTCAGAAACAATTTACTACCAATCCGGTAGGAAATTATTACCAAATCAATACCAGCACGAAGTATTTACATATTTAATATGCGTGACTCTACCAGATTTTAAACAGTGTAGCTCCAATCACACTTATATAGGAAATTCTCACCTTATTTATTACACAAGTGACAAAATTAATGTAAAAAATTCATATTGGGCGTCAAGATTTTTGCAAATCAAACAAATTGACGTGAATAAACTAATTCTAAATCAAATCATATCAAATTTCCAGTTTGTTGTAACAAAAATATGGACTGACATTCGCTAAATTTGTCGCAATTTCTTATTATCCATATTTCTTGCAAATTTTAATTTTTATGTTTTATTGTACGGACTGGGTAAGCTAAAATTTTGAGAAAACCCCGATTAATTTCTGAGTAATTTTTAATTTACTGTAAAAATATGGATAAGCTGACTTGAGTTAATTTCGTCTCAATTTAGTCTAAATTTCTATCATTTTATTACCCACATTTCGTACTCATGTTTCCTGTATGATTTCCATTTTGTAGATTGGATTATCCAAATTTTAGTACAAAATTGATTAATAATTTGTGATTTATTATGAAAATCCTGGGCTCAATTTTGTAAATTTTGTCCCAATTTCTTGCGTTGCTTCGTATTTTATAAATGTTTCGTTCGGTTTCTATCATTTTTGTGCACTGGATAAAGTTAAATTAGGCTAAAGCATAATTTGCAATGCACTATAAAAATCTGGCGTTAATGTCGTTAATTTTGTCTCAATTTCACCAATTTTATGACAAAATTTGTATCAAAATTTTGTCAATTTCGTCTCAATTTCATCAATTTTATGACAAAATTTGTATCAAAATTTCGTCAATTTCGTCTCAATTTCACCAATTTTATGACAAAATTTGTATCAAAATTTTGTCAATTTCGTCTCAATTTGGTCAATATTGTCTGAATTTTTTGCATATTATTACGCAAATTTCCTACTCACATATCAGTTTGTCGACTGGAAATTTATTATGAAAATCCCGTGCTCAATGTCGTCATTTTGTGCATATTTCGTACACTCTGTTCCATTTTGTGGACCGGATAACGCAAAATTCTGTGTAATTTGGATAAAATGTTGACTATGGAAAAGTGCGTCCTTCATTCACTTCATTTTGCGCCTCGTTCATTATCCCAAAAACATGTCAGAGTCACACCATCTTCTTTAATGGGAAACATTTATGCTGTTGACTACCTAACCAACCAAAATCGAGTCAAGCTTGCTTATCGAGAGGAGAAGACTCGCAATAATAAAATAAAAGTTCGAGGGACGCCGTCGTCGTGGCGCCTAAAAACCTCGAGTTCAGTACCGTTTGGTGGTGGTGGTGGTGGTGGTTTTGGTGGTACAAGACCATGTCATGGACATGTTGTCCTTTCCATGTAAATTTCTGTGCTGTTCTTTCTGTAAATTGGTTATTTACGAGATGAAATTATTAATTTAATTGCTTGTACTTCCTCCGTTCGACGGAGAAGAAAAAATAAAAAATTGGATTAGAGGGACTCAAAATCAAGAAAGTCTTTGATAAAATATTGATGTGCAATAAAGGCGAGTTCCAAATTTCTGTGATTTGTTTTACAATTTTTAAAATAAAATTGATTGACTGAGAGTACTAATTGTCACATTTTCTAATTGCTAATCAATCAAAAATAGCATTTAATGTAATATTACTTTAATTTAACGCCAGAAATAAAGAGCATCCACTAAGGTTTTTGACTGACGCAATAAAATGCTCAGAACTTTACACACAGTTAATGCAATTTCAAAGAAATTGCATATGTTTACTACCAAAGGGTCTGGATTGCAATACAGTTCAAATTTTAATGATTCAATTCCGCTGTCTGCTACAGATTGCATTTTCTTCTTCAGATTTCGCATCAAATTCCGCCCATAGACTGCACCTACTTTCAAGCTGATTTTCTTCCATCTGTTCTTAAATTTTCGTAAGGTATCTTGCGTTTCTGAAAGCTTAGAATATTTGGACTTAGTCAGCGCTCAGAATTTCTCAATTGGTCGCAGTTGAGGAAAATTTGGTGGGTTTCCATTTTTTGGCATAAATTCAATTTTTTTCAGATGTCGCTACTGAGTGACCTTTTTGGCGTCATGGGACCTTGCGAGGTCAGGCCAAAACAAAACTTTATTTTTTTATGATCTTTAGTAATAAACGATTCCAATCCCCCTTTAATACATGATTAAAGATAAACCCCCTGGTTTATAGCACCCTCCAAAATGACGGGATCGGAAACATGACCAATGCAAGACATGCGTTGCCAAATTCTTCATGGTTTTGTGAATTGGTCTTTTTTTTGGACTTTGTCTTCATAATTTACTTCACAGGGGTTGGAACTATGGAAAAAATGCCTTCCTAGAAGATTTGAAGGGTCAGCTGTGACGTAGGGCTCATCGTCCATGATGACCACGTTTCCCCGAATTTTCTTCAACTATTTCTTGCATCACATATGAATCATTTCATTTTGTGTTGGTTTGTAATTTCGTGCTGGTTTTTTTCCCCTGGCTACAATCCCTAGTTTATGGACTTTGATTTTGCTTAGATAGCTTTTTGAAATGTTGACCTTCCTTTCCGCTGTAGCTATTGTCGTTGATGGATAATTTTTGAAGATTTTTTTATGTGATTCTTGACTTTTGTCGTCGCTAGCTTTGCAGGTCGACCAGTGGGGACTTTGAATTTGAGTTCATTGGATTCCTCGTACTTTTTTATGTAAGAGTTGACATTTGAATGAGGAATACCTTCTTGCTTGAAAAAGTGTCAAGTGATTTTAGAATCATAGTTTGTACGATTTTTGTGAAACTCAATCACTCTTTTTTCAACTCTTGCCTTTCAACCCAAGTTTTTCTAGTCTTAGCCATGACTCAATAATTGGTGACATATATCAATGGAAAGCTTATAACTTGGTCTATTCAAAAATAATTTTTTCGAAATTTAATTTCGCTGTGTTCCCGCCTTGCGCGCCTATGACGGGGCAGTCAAAAACCTTAGTGGATGCTCTTTATTGAAAGTTAACAATAAATGTCATTCATTTGGGCGTAAAACTGAACAAGGTCTTTCATAAAATATTTATGTATGAATATACACGGAGAGTTCCAGGTTTTTGAGATTTGTTTTACAATTTTTAAAATGAAATTGATTGACTGAAAATAATAATTGTTACGTTTGCTAAGTGCTAATCAATCAAAAACAGCGTTCTATGCAATTTTATGGAACTATAATGTGATGCCAAAGAGCGCATTGCGAATTAATAATAAATGATCAACAAAGGCTTACATAAAATGTGCATGTAAATGGCGAGCTCCAACTTTTTGCGAATTTTTAAAATGAAATTGATTGAGTGATAATATCTAAATAAATAATTGTAATGTTTTCGTAATCAATTAAAAACAGCACTTACTGTAATTGATATTACGAATTTATAATAAATACATACTTACATTCATTTTGGGGTAAAAATGAATAAAATCTTTCATAAAATATGTATGTAAACACTTATTTACAAATACATGGCGAATTCCAGCTTTTTGGAATTTTTTTCATAATTTTTAAAATGAAATTGATTGACTGGAAATAATAATTGTAACGTTTGCTAAGTGCTAATCAATCAAAAACAGCATTTTATGCAATTTTACAAAACTATAATGTGAAGCCAAAGGTATTGCAAATTTACAATGAATATCATTCATTTTGGGGTAAAAATCAATAAATTCTTTCATGAAATATTTACACATGTAGACGGCGTCCTTTCTGCAACTTTTTGCAATTTTTTAAGTAAGTTTTACAATGACATTGAGTGGGTGAGAATATGTATTTAATTAATTATAATATTTTCCTAATCAATGAAAAACAGCATATAATGCAATTTTATTCAACATAATGCGACGCCAAAGATATTGCGAATTTATTATTCAGTGTGGCGTACAAATAAACGAGTCTTTCATGAAATATTTACGCATGTAAAAGCCACACTCGAATTTGCGAAAATTGATATAATTTTTAGTATGAAGAATGATTGATTCAAAATATATATTTAATTAATTGTAGTATTTTCCTAATCAATCAAAAAACAGCATTTAATGCAATTTTACTATACCGTGACGCCAAAGATATTGCGAATTTATCATTCATTTTAGCTCCAAAGCAACGAAATCCTTTCATAAAATATGCATTTACACATGTAAAAGCTGTGCTCGAACTTGCAAAAATCTTTACCATGAAATTAATCAATAGAGAATAATACGTTCCTCTAATGAATCAAAAACAGCATTTAATGCAATTTTTTCTTACTACAACGTGACGCCAAGGATTTTGCAAGTTTATGTGCACACTAAATATCATTCATTTGGCGTAATCAAAGCCTCCATTTATAAGGAATCGATTAATTAGCGATTAATATGAGGATTTGAGGCTCCATTTCTCTCAGCTGAATAGCCGTCTGGAACCAAGGATCGAGTTTTATCCGAAATTTTCCAGTTGTTAAAACAAACGACGTTTT